AAGGAAAGGGGCTCTGTGTGCAGGATCAGGCCCATACATTGAAGTTTAAAGGATGCTGTCCATGTCCCCACAGGCATTGGCTGTAAGGCACCCAAGGTGCAAAATGGGCATGTCTACAAGCTGCAGAGCATCTACAGAGCTGGGGATATTCTTCAGTTTGACTGTGAAGCTGGTTATGCTGCAGAGGACACGTATGAGACTCGGTGCCAGCCTGGGGGGACCTGGGATCCCCCAGTGCTCCTCTGCCAGAGGGGTGAGTGTGGGTGAGCTGCTTCCCAAGGGCACTGGCAGCACACACTGTTCAGTCTGCAAGCAGCAGTTCTTGCAACAGGCTCTAACCCATCAACACAGCACCACACTGACTCCCTTCCCCTTGCACACTGCTCTCTCACTGACTTAAGACTTTTTGCTTCCCTCTTGCAGTCCGACCCTGCCCAATGCCTCCACAGATCACCAATGGAAACCACAATGGTCAGGGCAAAACAAATTTTACGATGGGAATGTCTGTAACATACACCTGTGACAGTGGCCACTACCTGGTTGGAAATGCCAAAGTGTTTTGCAAAGCCTCACAGATCACCAATGGAAACCACAATGGCCAGGGTAAAGCATTTTTTACCTTGGGAATGTCTGTGGTATACACCTGTGACACTGGCTACTACCTGGTTGGAAATGCTGATGTGTTTTGCAAAGCCTCAGGGAACTGGAGCCAGCCCAGCCCTCGCTGTGAAGGTGAGTCCATGCTCTGTCCCCTCAGGCAGGACTTAGAGCAAAGGGAAGACCCTCACCATTGCCATTGAGACTTTCAGTGAGCAATTAACTCCCACTTAATGAAGTAGATGGTTTTATAATAGGAAAGGGTAAGGTTGAATCCATGAATCTAGAGTGAGCACCCTCCTCCCTGTGCTCCAGTGGCAGCCTGGCTCCAGCATGCCCATGGAGAGCCAGATGGTGATGGTGCTGGGATCCAGGCATGGGCATGGGGTGTGACACAGCTTTTAGGGGGAGAACAGCTGGATTGTTATGCATCAAGTCAACACTCCTTGCCCAGAAACATCAGAGGAGAGACAGGACACCCAAAGGCAGCTGTCAGGATGGAGCCAGCAGTACCTGGGGCATGAGCCCTCTGCCCTGTCCCTTCACCTTCTCCCATGTCTGACATGCAGGAGATTATAGCTGAGTTATCTCCCAAGAGTTCTCTCTCTCACACACTTTCATGGGCTTTTCACCTCCTTCTCCAGAGGTGACATGTCCTCGGCCACCAAGCATTGCCAATGGGCAGCACAGTGGACAGTCCTTGGAGAAGTTTTCCCGGGGAGTGACTGTGTCCTACAGCTGCAAAGAAGGCTACACACTGGTTGGGAACGTGTCCATCACCTGCACAGAGGCTGGAGTGTGGAGCAAGCCCCTGCCCCGCTGTGAAGGTGGGTAGAGGCTTCACTGCTGGGCAGAAAGGATGCTGGATGTCCTGTAGGAACAGAGCAGGCAGGTTTCTGGCAGGGCTGAGAAGGAAAGGGGCTCTGTGTGCAGGATCAGGCCCATACATTGAAGTTTAAAGGATGCTGTCCATGTCCCCACAGGCATTGGCTGTAAGGCACCCAAGGTGCAAAATGGGCATGTCTACAAGCTGCAGAGCATCTACAGAGCTGGGGATATTCTTCAGTTTGACTGTGAAGCTGGTTATGCTGCAGAGGACACGTATGAGACTCGGTGCCAGCCTGGGGGGACCTGGGATCCCCCAGTGCTCCTCTGCCAGAGGGGTGAGTGTGGGTGAGCTGCTTCCCAAGGGCACTGGCAGCACACACTGTTCAGTCTGCAAGCAGCAGTTCTTGCAACAGGCTCTAACCCATCAACACAGCACCACACTGACTCCCTTCCCCTTGCACACTGCTCTCTCACTGACTTAAGACTTTTTGCTTCCCTCTTGCAGTCCGACCCTGCCCAATGCCTCCACAGATCACCAATGGAAACCACAATGGTCAGGGCAAAACAAATTTTACGATGGGAATGTCTGTAACATACACCTGTGACAGTGGCCACTACCTGGTTGGAAATGCCAAAGTGTTTTGCAAAGCCTCAGGGACCTGGAGCCAGCCCAGCCCTCGCTGTGAAGGTGAGTCCACACTCTGTCCCTGTAGGGAACAAACTCTTAGTGTGGCTCTGAGCACAGGGCAGACCCTGACCACTGCAAACAGACCCACCAAGAAGGGGGAGAGTAAAAAAAATCCTGTGTAAATTGTTGCATGCAATCAATTAATATCAGGCCCTTCAATAGTGTAGGTGGGGTTGGGGAGGTTTGTGTAGATGTCATGTTGACTTTGCTGTTGCACTATCAACACCCTGCAAGGTTTTGTTTTGTTCTGACTCCTTTATTACACCTCATTTCCAGTGACTGTCTGCATAAATCCATCTATAGCCAATGGAAGGCAAGTTGATGGTCAAGGACTTCTCTCTGCACCTGGACAAACGGTGACGTTCCGGTGCCACGATGGTTACAGCCTGCAGGGCAGTGCCCAGGTCACCTGCCAGGAGGATGGCAGCTGGCACCCTCCTGTTCCTGTCTGTGACAGAACACCCCAATACCAGCACTCCTTAAACAGGCTTGAATCTGCAGGTAAATCATGACATAGCTGCCTTGTGGTACACTAATATTTCATGTGCCCTAACCCTGTCAAAAGCAATGTGGTTAAACCCTGTGAGTGGGAGTTTTACATATATCCTGGGAATATGAACCTGATCCTCTGCAATCCTTTGGGAAAATATGTTGGGTATGTTTAAAAATGTCTGTATTAATAAAAATCAATGATTTTCGAGGCCAACTAAACACCTTTCCTCCTGACAGTGCTCTTTCTGTTCTTGTAGCCAACATACCTGCCCTGCCTGGTTCTCATGTCTGTTTTCTCTCTCAATAGGTGGTTGTGGTGTTCCTCCAAGGTTACAGTTTGCTGAGCTAAATAAGGAGCATAGAAATGCCATTGATTTTTCTGTGGGGAAGACTGTGCAATACACTTGCCGACCTGGATATGCTAAAGACCCAAGAATGTCACCTACTATTACATGCCTTGAGAGCGGAGTGTGGTCATCCTCTGCCAGAGGGGTGAGTGTGGGTGCCTGCTGCCTGTTCTGTCTGCAAGCAGCAGTTCCTGCAATGGGCTTTCACCCACTGATGCAGCATACTAGAGTTCTGTAAAAGTGAATAGCTCCTTGATTTGGTGTCCGTTGTGCAAGAAGGAATAGGTCCTAGGTTCTGTCCATGCTGCAAAAAAACTTTGTTATTCTGGTCTTCAAATAATATGTGACTAGTAAAGCCATGTAACTCTTTGCTATTTGAAACCCGTTTTGGGGTAACTGGGAATGTGGACAGATGACTGGAGTAATAGTTGCACTGTTGTACTGTGGTGTAGAGAGACAGAAGCCTAAAATGAGGATATTTTCCTCCCCCAGGAAAACAATGCAGTCACCCTGGTGAACCTATGAATGGGAGAATTATTTCCCCAACAGATCTCCTGTTTGGATCAACAGTGGTCTACAGCTGTGAAGAAGGGTAAGTCCTGGCTTTGGCTACTGCTTAGAGATGTATTAGGTAAGTCTCCCTTTTTTTCCATCCTATTCCTTCACTCCCAATAAAAGGATCCTGTACAAAAGTCACTGTACAGGATTCTGTACCTATATAGCACATAAGGAGTTCACTGTGTATACATATGTATACTGTGAAATGGGTCAGGTAGAGCAAGGAAGGAAATTCTTCAGTGCCACAGCTTTGCTGTCAGCAGGTCTGATCCCACCATCCCAGATGAACAGGAGGAGGCAGTAACTCCTACTGAAATGACTTGAATGTATGTTCCATCCTTTTAACACCAGGCATAGGTTAATTGGAACATCCAGCAGACGATGTGAGATTTCTGGGGGACGTGTTGCATGGAGCGGTGACGTTCCCATATGTCAGCGTAAGTGGCTTACAGCTCTGGGGGTTTGTATGGGCCTGGTAAATATTTTCCAGCAGAGACTGCCAAATCTTTCCAGTCAAAGCTTTCACAGGCAATTTCTCTGCTCTGTGGGCATCAAAAATATCAGAAGGTTTTGAAGTCTTAAGAAAACATTCTGGGAAAAGGTACAAGATCTCAAAGCTTAACGGATTAGAGAAAGCAACATCTCAGCTGGAGCTTTTCCAGCAGTACTTGAACATCCTGTTTCTGGCTGACATCACAAGCCCATTGCAGGAGAGGTGCTCTGTTGAATTGAGAAGCCTTGTTCTGCACCTCTGCAGGTATCCCTTGTGAGCCACCTCCGGACATTCCCAATGGGAAGCACACGGGCAGGCTGCTGGATGAATTCCCTTATGGCACCTCTGTAACATACACCTGCAACCCTGGGTTCCCTCTCCATGGAGAGTCCTCCATCCACTGCACCACCCAGGATGGGAAGAACGGCGTGTGGAGTGGGCCCCCGCCGCACTGCGGAGGTGTGTGCACGTGCACTCAGGTGAAACCCTCACAGCACTGTGTTTTCTGTTGAGAAAGATTAGGAAACTCCAGACAGTCAGGCTTCTTGTCCCAGGATTTTCAAGGCTTGATGTGCAGCTGGGGGAAGGAGGCTGGAGGGTCACCCCACTGCTTCTAGCATCTCCATCCTCACCTTTCAGCTTGGGTCTCTCCGGTGATGCTCAACACTGTTGGATGCAGGCAGTGCATCATCTACAGGATAATTATTTTCAGGCTTGTGTCTTAAAAGGGTTTGCAACCCTACATGGTTTCACAGCTGCACAGCTCTGCTTAAGTGCTTGTTTTGAGGTCCTGCACTTCATTTTTCAGAGACAAGTTGTCCTGTCCCACGGGTCCAGAACGGGAGGATCGTGTCTCCTAAGGCTGCCTACACGTACAAGGACACTGTGACCTTTGAGTGTGAGCCAGGCTATGTCATACATGGCCACAGAGTGGTTCAATGCCAACGAAATAACACCTGGGAGCCACCCGTGCCAGTCTGCGAGCAGGGCAAGTATTCAAACAGGCCTCTGAATATTAATCTTCCCCTGCTCTCCCAAAGCTGCTTTTTCTTGGCTCCTTTAATAATGGGCTGGCTGATCTCCCTTTGTAGCTGGCTGCAATGCACCTCCCAGGTTGGAGTTTGCTGAGTTGAAGAGGCTCTACAGCAGCCAGACTGCCTTTCCCGTGGGGAGGACAGTGGAATACGTGTGCCGGCCTGGTTATGCCCAGCACCCAGGGATGCCACTGACCATCACATGCCTCAGGAATCAGACATGGTCTGCAGCACTGGAGTTCTGTAAAAGTATGTCCTATAGGTGCTGAAAAATTTAAACTGTCAGGCTTGGCTGGTTTTCCTCATTTTTCCAGCTTCACAGGTCTCTTTACCTTCTGCAGTGCTCTGTGTTGGCCTCCCTGGCTGGGATGTGAGCAGCAGCTGGGGGCTAACAGAGTCTGGCATTCCCTTCCAGGGAAGCAGTGTCCTAACCCAGAGGACCCAGTGAACGGCAGAGCTGTTGTCCTGACAGATCTCCTCTTTGGGTCCAAAGTTAATTACACTTGTGATGAAGGGTGAGTTCAGCTGCCAGGTGAGACTGAAGCAGATTTTCAGCTTTACACAACCTAGTTCCCGAGTCAAAAGTCTTCGCTGCCACTTACAGAGGCTGTAAAAAAATATCAAGTCTCTTACTGTTAAATTAACACATCCTTCTGTGTGGCTTCAGGTACAAGTTGGTTGGAGGCTCTCAGAGAACGTGCGAGGTCTCTGGCACACGTGTCTCATGGAGTGGAAAAGCTCCTGCCTGCCAGCGTAAGTAGGCTACAATGAAAGGTCCTTGGAGACAGTTTGCAAGAGAAAGTGGAACATCTTTCAAGCCAAAGATTTTCTTGCAAGAGATTTCTCAAGTCACTGCATGAGTAAAATCTTTCCTTTCTCTTTTCATTTTGTTCTGGTTTGGAGGCTTCTGAAAATGTTTCCAAAGGTCTTTTATTATTCTGGTCCAAACTGGGAAGAAACATTAATATTTTAAATTCCCTGGTACTGGGTAAGTATTTCTCACTGGGCATGTGTAGGAATGGTGTTGTCAATGTGCTTCCAGTGGTTATGGAAAGGGAGGTAAGAATTGTCCCACCACCTCCAAGCATCAAAGAACTGACTCACAGGAAGGCATATGTTTTCCTTCCCATGTGTGATTTTTTCCATCTGGATAATCTGGGTCATTGTATCACTGCTGAGATGGCTTCATCCCTGTCAGCTCTTCCTGGGAAGTGTGTGAGTGCTGCAGACCCTGTGCTGGTGCAGTGCTAAAAATCACCCATACCTGCCTGCAGGTATCATCTGTGATCCACCTCCAGACATCCCCCACGGGAGACACAATGGGCACTTGAGGGACACCTTCTCCTATGGAGAAGTGGTCACCTACAGCTGTGACTCTGGCCACATGCTGAGTGGAGAGCCCTCCATCTCCTGCACCACGACAGAAGGGCAGCAGGGCACGTGGAGTGGGCCACCCCCACAGTGTGAAGGTAGGTCCCTGCCAGCCAGGTCTGTTGTCACTGGCAGAAGGAACAGCCTTCTGGGGGCTGCACTTACTGATGGGAAGACAGCTCACATCACGTATTTATTCACAAGAGTTAATAGAGTCGGTTATTTTCCTCCTTTGCTGTTCGAAGGTTGGATTTTTACTTCATTCTTTTTTCTTGCCCTGCCCATATTTCCCACTTTCCTTCCCTTCCCTTCACAGAGCTGAGGTGTCCTCCCCCTCCAAGCATTGCCAATGGGAAGCACAGTGCCCAGCCCTCAGACACCTACCTGCCAGGCTCAGTTGTGCAGTACACCTGCACAGAGGGCTACTCCCTCATGGGGAATGCCTCCATCAGCTGCACTGCCAGAGGAACCTGGAGTCGGCCCCGGCCCCGATGTGAAGGTGTGTTTGTGTTGGCTTCTTTTATCTTTCTCTGGAACCTTTCTTCCCTCCTTGCACTTGGTCTCATTGCTACAGACCAAATCTTCAGTGAGAAGCAGAGAGCAAAGATCCCATAGGCAAGGGGAGCCTCATCTGTTTGGGAGTTTGCCTTTCTGTTCTCACTCAGGAAAGACTCTCAGGAAGAGCTGAATAATGATATTTTGTGTAAGAATAAGAGTCAGTAATGTTGACATGGCTATGACAGTGATGTGCAGCAGCAAGTACTGCCCCATGTCAGTGTCCCTCCACACTCAGGATGGGATTCACATCCCCAGTGGTGCTTTGTGCTCTTCACTTCCAGCAACTGGCTGCAACAGACCAGAGATCAACAATGGAAGAACAACTGGGCTGGAGACCACGTACAGACTGATGGATATTGCTGTCTTTGAATGCAATTTTGGTTATGCCTTGAAGGGCTCTCAAGAGTCTCGGTGCCAGTTTGGGGGCAAGTGGGACCCTCCTATCCCCACCTGTGAGAAGAGTAAGTGCAAATGAGGGGGTGGGTGGCAGCTGATTTCTTCTGAACCATTGTATAAGTGCATCTGGCAGGGTGCAACACCTCACACTGCAGGTAAAGGGTCTGGTCTGAAGGATTGGAAAGGAAAAACAAGCCCTTGTTATGTGGGGCTTTCACCTCTTTAAATGAATCCACAAAATCCAGTGGGTTAGGCTGATGTCTGATATCACTCACAACCACAGAAAGGTCAGAGCAAGTTGCTAGGGCCACAGGTGGAAACTAACCACTGTAATTGCCTAGTGAGGAGTTATCATTCTTGATGTCAATAAGCTCAAGAAACATTGTCCCTCCTTCTAGTGCCACAGTGTCCTTCCCCTCCAAACATCAAAAATGGCCAGCACGAAGGCAAGGACGTCAAAGTGTTTGTCTCTGGAATGTCAGTGAAGTACTACTGTGACCCAGGGTATGTCCTCACTGGGAAAACAACAGTTTCTTGTTTGCCATCTGGATCCTGGAGCATCCCTTACCCCCGGTGTGAAGGTGAGCTGTAAATGCTGTTACCCACAGCGGGGAAGGGAGACCACCATGGCCTCACTCGAAAAAAGCAAAGGCAAAACCCTCAGCTCTGGCAGGTGCTTCCCCAGTTCATGCTCTGCTGTTTTTCCCCTTGCAGTGGTCACCTGCACAAACCCCAGTGTTCTGGATGGAGAGGTGGCTGAAGGCCAGAGTGCTGTGTACCATCCTGGGGCCACTGTCACCTTCCAGTGCCACTCAGGCTATGAGTTGCGGGGCAGCAGTGAGGCCAAGTGCCAGCCCGACGGCCGCTGGGTGCCTGCTGTCCCCACCTGTGAGCCAGGTGAGCACGTGGGGCTTTGCAAGGAGGATGCTTGGGGCCATACTTGTGTTGGAAGGGCCCTGAGGTCATGCTCTCATGAGATGTCACTCCAGCTGTGACAGTCTTTTGCTATGCTCCTCTGTTGGGTCCAGTGGAGGGCAGCAAAGATGGTTAAGGATCTAGAGCATCCACTTGTGAGGAGAGGCTGAGGGAGTTGGCACTGTTCTGTTTCGAAAAGAGACAACTGAGAGGGACCTCATTAATGTATATAGGTATTTAAAGGGGGTGCCAAGAGGATGGATCAGAATCTTTTTGGTGGTGACAAGCAATAAGACAACAGGTAATGGGCAGAAACTTATGCCCAGGGAATTCCACCTGAATATGAGGAAGAACTTTACTGGGTGAGTGACCTCACTCTGGAAGAGATAGCTCAGAGAGGGTGTGGATCCTCCTCACTGGAGATATTCAAGTCTCTCTGGATACAATCCTGTGTCATGTGCTCTGGGATGGTTGAGCAGGGAGCTTGGACCAGATGACCCACTGTGGTGCTTTCCACCCTGACCATTTTGTGAAAATCACTAAATCTCTGCTCTCTGCTCCAGCCCTGGCAGTGCTGCTTTGTCCTCCTCCTCCCGTCATCGCCAACGCCACGCACAGCGCAGAGCTGGAGACAAACTTCACCAGTGGCATGTCCGTGAACTACAGCTGCCAGCCTGGCTTCTCCCTCCTTGGAGACCCTTCCATCACGTGCATGGCCTCGGGGAACTGGAGCCTCCCATACCCACACTGTACAGGTGGGGCCTGCTGCTGCCTCGGCTCCTTGTGCATCTGTGGCTGCCTGAGCATCCATCCCATGCTCG